TTAGCTACAGATCCACCACACGAAAGAGGAAGTAAAGAAGAATGGCAGAAACAGGAAAGAGGTGAGAAGGAGAAGACAATAGGAGCCGCAAAACGCACATGCTTCCTCAGATCGGCAAATAGAAGAAGAAAATGGCTCTTCTTACCTTAGGTCTGTCGGTCGAGGGACGACGAAAGAGGAGAAGGAGAAGGGGACGCGAGGGAAGCATCGAGGAATGACCTTAGAGTAGACGCGGGGAAGCAGCGGGAAATCACCAAGGGTAGACGCGGGGTAAAGGGTAAAAGTTTTGGACGAAAGCGGAAGACGCGATGGTAATGTCGCTGCCCGCTTTCACTCCGCTTCCGCCGCCAGAATGCCCGAAGTCGCGAACCAAACATGTGACTTTCACGAAAAGCTGCGTGTAATAACCGCGCCGCACCTAAAAAGTGCTCCCAAACAGACCCTAAATCTCATCTCGACTTCCCAACGCCACTAGCACTATATATAGTCCTTGTATTTGCCCAAAAATGATTTACACAAATCTTGAGTCAATATAAAATTATTTACACGAATCTCGAGGTAATATTAAGGCTGTCACTTGTAAAAATGAGGCCTTTTTGGTTCTCTAGTGGTAACATCTACTTTTTATTGAATAAAATGAGTCATGATTAGCTCCGAGGTGGCAAATCTTTCTCTCTCCTCTTCTCTCTCTCTACTGCTCTATCCCTTGGTTATAGTCTACCAGACAAATTTGATTTCTAACACATTACCTCACTACTTCGGTGTGGGATGTGTAGCTTCTCGTCCTTCCATGGCGTACTCCTTCTCAGCTCGCTGGAGCTTCGTGTTGAAGCTTGCAGCCATCGTGCATGGCTCCTCAATGTCTTTCGACCACTTCTTCTATTTGATTCCCCATCTTTTATCCCCTCTTGTCAGAAGAATAAGACAAAACAACGACGATCCGATGAAATTGTTAACAGAAGTGAGTTGGTGCGGGTTTCGTAATATAAAATTATTCTCCATAGCAGTTGCAGCATCGATGGATGAGGTTTCTTGTCAGAATCACTACTTCGGTGTGGTAGTTGCAGCATCGATGGATGAGGTTTCTTGTCAGAAAGACACGATTGATCCCTCCATAAAGAAGAAAATAAAATGGCGATGATCTGCTGAGCTTGGAGCGGAAGCGGGTTCCTTTGAGGGTACGTAAATAACAATATTTTACTTGTTAAACATGCAAAACCTCCAGTTTAATAATATTAACTTTTAAAAGGTAAGAGATTCAAAGATATTATTTAGTTTATAATATAAAAAATTATAATAAATGTGTTGTTTACATCAATAAAAGTTTAACTTTTAAATAAAAATGGACTATTTTTTTAAAATTTTAATCGTAAGAAAATATATGTTAAATAATATTTTGAGAGCATGTCATTTTCTTAAAAAATATTATTTAATTCAGATCTTTTAATAGTGTGTTCGACATGTGCAAAGTTCGTGTTCGATATGTTTTCAACACTAGAGTAAGAGTGTCTGTGCATCACGCAAAATTATTTCATATGGACACCGTATGCATCTCATGCAGTGTCCGATCTACACCGTCCGATCAAAATTTTTTTTTTTTAAATGAGCCCATGGAAATATATATTTACGGTAATCAACGGATGAAACAATTCTTCATCACAGACATATTTATGGTAATCAACGGATGAAACAATTCTTCATCACAGACTAATATTTGTTCCCTTTTAAAGAGTTGAAGATAAATAAATTATACACAATCAATTTTCACATCAAGCTTAAATTAATAATTCAAAATTTTAAGAGATTTAGCAATAAAAATTAACTAAGCTCTTAACGCTCGTTCTTGTTTGACAACTTAAGGGAAAAATATTACGTCATGGTACGCCATATGGTTGTAAGTGAAGAGTGAGAGAGTAGTGTTCGAAGGTAGAGTACATTGGTTAGAAATAAAATGAAGTAATCTTCCTAAGAAAAAGAGATTAGGTTAGAGAGCAACTACAACATGTCAAAATTAAACCTAGGAATAACGAATGGGTTTAAACCGATCAATTAGTAATCCCAACCCTAGCTGTTAGCAACAAATCAGAATAAACAATAATGCTAAAAGATTCACAACGGTAAAATGATAATTTACCGTTTTAGCATTCCAATAAATTTTAACACACACTCAAATAATAAAAGTGATAGGTAAAGACACTAGAAGTAAACTACTATATAATTGTGAGTACATAGACTCACTCTTTTCCTGAGCTAAGAAAGATTGAATTATAACATCGATGTATAATAATATTTCAACAATAATAGTCGTAGCGTGTCATGAAGGCCATAGTCGATTACTATAGAGACGTTTGTTCTTCATGAATGTTGTAGTGCCAGCTTACTTTAGAGACCACTGTTGAAATTCATGGTAGAATTTGGTAACATGAGTCACAGATGGTTCCTTTAGGAAGATTGATTGGTCATATAGGCCATAGTAGAGAGTTGCAATAACGTCTATAGACGGTAAAGGCTGGAGTTGGGAGAGACGTGAGCCATGTAGGCCATGATTGATCGCATAGGCTGTAGACGAGAGCTGTAATAAAGTTTGTAGGTCAAAAAGGTGTCAGTTTGGGGCTCATACACTATGATAACTTTAGCCATAGAGGTTGGAGCTACATAAGCTATGATAATGTCCGTAGGACTCATAGGCCAGAGTTGGAGGCTACACAAGCTATGATAACGTTCGTAGGCTATAGAGACTGGAATTTGGAGCTGCATGACTTGTGATAAAGTATGTACGTCACGAAAGCTAGACTTTGGAGCTGTAGATAGAGTCCCTAGGTTGCGGAGGCTGGAATTGTGGGAGTTTTATAAGATGTGCACCGTGTAGGTCATAGTTGGTCACATAGACTATAATGGTGGGCAATAAAGAGAGAGGTTCAGAATTATGGAGAGTCCTCATATCTTGAGTATGACATCCTTAAGCAATTATTGCGGAGTGTGTTGTTACACCATCCCATGAGAGGTTGTTGCAATGTATGTGGGGCGCGTCGTTGCACTGTATTTGAGATGCATTCTTACACCATCTTCGGAGTTTGTTGTTGCACCGTCTTTAGGGTACATACGTCCATACATTATTTTTGACGTGCAAGTTGTGCCATTTTGGAGTGTTGTTACACCATCTTCGAGATGCATTGTTACTATATCTTCGAGAGGCATCGTACATTGCATCGTATGTTGGGCATTTCGTTATACAGTATTCTGGGTGCATTGCTCCATTGAATGTTTCGTTACTCCACAAGGCTTGTCTTTACTCAGCACGATGCTTCATTACACTACAGTGTACACCGGGATTCTGCAGCGCATGTTGTGATACAACAAGAGGATTCGTTTTAATGAGTATGGGCAACCAACATTACATAAGTGATTAACATTTGCCGGACCCTTAGCGTGGAACCCTAAACCTCAACACCTCCTCTAAGTATCGAACTTCCTTCGGTTCATGGTCTAGGTCCTCATTTCCCATTACGAAGAGATAAGACTATATTTATAGAGTTTAGGAGAGGCCTCCTGACAGGTAAAAAATGAATCCTAACCACTCTTTCGAAATGCCCAGAGATATTCCCTCGATTAGACGATATTATGTAACAATTTGAGTGACTTAACGATGTCTGAATTGAGTGATCACATATTAGATTCGACTCGTCGAGTTGCTAGATTTGACTGTAAGCTTATTAGATTAGAAAACCATTTGATCTTTCAATGGACACTAGAAGCTTTAAAAATTGGTTGAACAGTTCGATCTAGACTTGATTTGACTCGAGTTGGAACAACTTTGGTGTCAATGTCTCGTCAAGCCAGTCATTTATTGTAAGGTCGTTGAAAGTAAAGTTTTGAATTATTTTTAATTGAGATTTGAATTTTTGTTTTTTGAAAAATTTATTTCAAAATTTATGTCATGTCTGAGAGATTCATGCAGAATAATGCTGTCAAATTGCTAATGCACTTTAATCAACAAGAAAAAGGAGCTGCAATTAAGAGCCCATTAAAAAAAAAAAACTTACAAAAAAATTATTAAAGTAAAAAAAAGGAATGAAGAACTTTCCTTTGCATTTCCACGTGGAAAAGCCTGCACTTATTACCACCGACGGCCTGACTTTCTTTCACGTTGTCCTCTGTACAAAAGCTAGAACACCAAAAGAATGCAAAGCGTGCGTTAATTGGTAGCCGGGAAGCAAAGTAGAGACATGGAAATGGAAAAATCTTTCAGTCCTTCTCGAGACGTGCAAGTAGAGCGGATCTAAGCAAGTCATCGCCTTGTAATGCGCCGGGCACGCGGACAACTACATCCTGAATCACCACCTCCTTAAACCTTGAAACAGAGGCGCGGCTGACCTCAACGTCGAGGCTCCGCAGCGCAGCCATCAGCTTCGCCGGCGGGTGGCTCATATTCTCCGAATGGACCTTGATAATGGCGTCGAAGCCCAAAATCTTGACCTCCACCTCCATGTTTCCCATCCCGGCGCTAACGGTAGTCGTGGTGCAGCTTGGTGCCCCACTACCATCCTCATTCATCCTGCTCCTCTTCACTTCGGCCTCCAATTCCTCTACCTTGGCGCGGAGCTCTTTTATATACGAAACAGCGTCGGCGAGCAGAGAGGCTTTATCCATTCTCGACACGTTGGGGACAACCGAACGCAGGGCATAGAAACGATGGTTGAGCTTCTCCCTCCGCTGCCGCTCCGCCTCCACGTGATTCACGGCGTTCTCCCTCCCACCCCCATTCTTCCTTCCACGCTTCTTCGCCCGCCGCCGGCCCAACAAATGCTCGTCCTCTGATTGCGAATGCTCTGAGTCAACAGAAGAGGAAAATGCCGCATTTTTGCGCTGCGGGTGTCTTGAAGCAGGGGGCGGAACAACGCCTTCTTCTTCAGGGGAAGAAAGGAAAGCATTGATCTGCTGGAGAAGCATCCAGTTCTCCTCAACGAAGTCGGAGGATCCCAGCTCGAGGACCCCGCAGGAGCTTATGGGAAAGCAGACGAGAGTCTCGATGCCGTGGAGCTGGGCTTCGAAAGATCGGTCGCACCCGAAGCTTTGAAGCGCAGGGGCGCCAGCAAGCCAGATGGGGGCCTGCGTTGCGTAAGCACGTGCTGGCGCTGGAGCACGCGCATGGCCAGCGCTAAACGACCTCGTGAGGGACACCACGTAGAACCACTCTGTGTCATCGCCGTCACCGCAGGAGTCGAGTTCCCCATCGCATGCGCTGCGTTTACCGCGGAAATGTCCATCGCCGAAGGCGAGCATCTGTTGGTCAGGCCAAGCTCGCCAGAAAATGACATAGGTCCACCACTCGGGTCGGGAATTGAGGAGGCACTGGAGGCGGTACTGAAGCATCGAGAGCGGCGAGCAGGAGGAAGAGGGCGAGGTTAGCTCTTCCATTTGCTAGAGGTAAAGGCTGGTGGGGGATCAAAAGGTGGTAGAAAGAGAGGCAATGGAGGAATGCTGGTGTTTGTAGCTCTGCTCTACATTTGGAGCTCATGAGTAGCGGGAATATATGGAGCTCTGAGGTTGTCGGCACGTGGGCTGGAATGCGAGCCTGTCCAATGGGCGCCCTCTCTCTCCCGCCCTCTCTCTCTTCCTATTGAGGCGGACGCACACCGAGTGTCTGATCTGCCGTTCAATAATTGCACTGCGCTTTAATAAATTTTGAAAATAATGATTTTTATTGCGGGAATGTTGATATTTTGTGAATAAATATGAATATCGGGACGGTGTATAAACCTCTACAATCCTTTCGAGCCACTATTAATTTGAACTTAAAATTACTTTAATAAATTAGCTTGAATTTGAGGTTTATTCTATAAAATTAATTCTAAATCTCAATTTGACTTATTTATTATGAAAAAAAATAATATTAATCTAATTTAATTTATAATAACATGACAAATAGAATGATGTCGAGTTGAGATTGAAAACATAAAAATATGAATTGAAACATTAAACATTTTAATTAGGTTAGGCTCAGGATATGGGCTAGGCTTGGGCTGGATTGAGCTAGGGTTGGCTAAGGTTAGCTAATGTTGGGTGAGGTTGGGCTAGGTTGGGTTGGGTTAGGTTAGGTTGGGCTTGGGTTGGGTTAGGTTAGATTGGGCTAAGTTCGGTCGGGCTAGGTCGGGTTGGATTGGGTTTCGTTGGGTTGAGCAATCCGATTAGGTTGAAATAGGTTAGGTCGAGCTAGGTTGGGTCTGGCTAGGTTGGGTTGGCTTGGGTTTGATTGGGTTTGGTTGGGCGAGGTTGAGTTAGTTGGGTTGGGTTGGACTAGGTTGGGCTAGGTTGGGCTGGGTTGAGTTGGACTAGGTTGGGTTCAACTGGGTTAGGATTAGGTTTGGGCCATGTTGGGTTCATGTCAAGATGTGATTGATTCAAGTTCGGGTGAGGTTCAAATTAGGTTTGCTTCAAGTTCGAGTCAGGTTGGGTTTGGGTCAGGTTAGGATCTAGTCAGATTCTGGTCAGGTTGGGGTCTGGTTGGGTTCGGGTTAAGTTCGGGTCATGTTGGGTACAATTCAGGTTGGGTTGGGGTTAGGTTGGGTTTAGGTCTAGTTTGAGTTAGGTTCGCGTTAGGTTGGGGTCAAGTTCGGGTCAGGTTGGGCTTGATCTAACTTAGGGCTAGCCCAAACATGAGCCAAACCTAATTGCTACTTAATTATTTTATTTTAAAAAATTAAAATAATTAAAATAAAATAAAGGAGGAGGACAGCCGATCAAAACACCGCCTAAGAGGAGAAGGAAAGAAATGGAGGAAAAAAGTGCTCCCTGAACTGTGGAGAGGAGGGGGCTACTTATAGGTGTTAGAGTGATATAGTTGGTGCTAGGAGTAGTTGCCTCCCATCGATCGACCTCAACAATCATCGATTGATTATAGTTCGACGGTCATGCTTCTCTAAAAAGCTGTTGTTCCCATGGATCGCTAGGCGGTGAAGCGAATCGACGAATGGCCGCCAGGCACGTGTGGGCACCAAGGCACTACGTGCAGAGGCACACGAGCTCAAAGGTATCGCACCACTGAAGTCATGCAGTAGTAGCGCCGCTCGCTGCACGCATGTAGGGGCCTTAGGTTACATGCATGAGCGCGTGGAGCCTGATCAAGAAAAATGACAACCCTGACCCACCCGACTGAGAAAAGATCAAGAAATTCAAAACAAGAGTTAGTTTTAGCGGACCTTGGAGTCTATGTTGTCTCCAAGGAGAGGAAGTTGGGGTCAAAATGTGTCGATTTTGACAAGAGCTTGGATGAACTTCAAATTGATCAATTTTGATATTCTTCTTTAAATTTTATTATATTTTAAATTTAGAACTGATTTGACCTCAATGTAAGGGCAAAATTGTAATTATCATAAAAAATATCCTAATTATCTTCCAAATTATCATATGCTAAGTGAGCCTAGAGATGGAGTTTGATTTAGGAGTGGAGAGGATAATTTGAAAATTTTTGGAGATCTAGACGCATTAGAGGAGTCTATTTTGTAAAATGATACTCCGTCTGAAAAAATTTATCTGTGAAGAATTTTCTCGTATGAAAGCTCGCGACAAAAAAATTTACGCAAAAAGTGGTCTAATAGCTGATGAAACTTAATTCATGTTATTCAAACATTTATAATGAACCAAATGTAGCATAAAAAATAATTTATGTAAAAGGTGGGAATATTCCAAGCACTACAATGATTTATGGAATGAACGATAATTTCATAGCGTAAAATATAATATTTTAGAATATTCCATCTACGAGCTGCATTTCAATCCAACTTTAGAGTTTGATTGTAGTTAGATGCATTTGATTTTCATTTTGCATGTTTTATTGTAGGTTTATTTTAGATCCTTAGGGTGAATGAAGGCTTAACAAAAAATGAGGTCGACAACTACTAGCACCGAAATTAAAAATCTAAACAGTTAACATAGGGCGAAACTGTAAAGAGAAATTTACCACGTTGAAGCATAAATACTTTGACAAATTTATGCAGTATAAGCAAGCTAACTTTCGATGTACTCCATGCAGATAACGTTCCAAATGCCGGAAAATCGTCTATAGTTCAAATTAAGGTTATTTTAATAGAAAATTTCATTTAATAAAAATGTCATATGTGATGGCATATGTTTCTCAAAGAATTTATAACTCATATCTCAGCGGTTGTTAATATATATAAATTCTTTCTTTTCTCCTATTAGAACAGAATAATTGATGTTAGAAACAATGGTGTTGTTATACATATCTCATATGAAAGAGTACATGAAGTAACAATTACTGGCTAACAAGAGTTCGATGAGGCGGTTTGATTATACGGTGTGATGCCATCATAACATAAGCCTAACCTAACATTATATACCTCCACGACAAAACAAGGATATTTCTAATTAAAATATTTTCTTGGTTCTCTATCTGTGAGATGACTCATTAAATTGATTTCACTTGATCTGTTATTATGTCATCTTATATGTAGAGTAGTACACATAGAAGCAAATAGTCTTTGAAGACGTGAAATATGTGTTAGATAATGTAGGTTTTTAAATGAAACTTTTTTTCCGCCTCTTTCTATGTTAATTATGAATCTAAGACACTCACAAAATTTGTGCTAATATATTACATCAACATATAAAATAATATGTATCTATTTACACCATGATCAATCCTCTCTGATTTCAAACCTAACTTGGAGACTAGTTTTTTGTTATGTATACATCTTTTAGAACTAAATTTTCCTTAGGATTTGTCTCAGTAATCCTGTAACATGATCGAAGCAATCTCGGGACATATTGAACTTAATTTTAATTTTTTTTATATTTTGAGAGCAACATATAACTTAGAATGGAATGTACAATATTTTCACAATCATATTTGTGCATCATTCAATAATTCATCAAAACATCAGCATTTTTTGGTTTGGTGGTTCTTCATGCAATTGACTTGGATAATATGATCTTGTTTTATCAAAGACCATTTTTACAAATCTACTTCAATCAAATTTTGGTTGAGGAACATAACTCGTTGAAAGAGCAAAGCTAATAGAAAGGTTAATATAAAGTCCAAAACCAATAATCATATTGAAATCCTCAATGATATAAATCATACCTGACCTCATCATGCGTTAAGTATTATTTGATTATTGTATTTCTAACATGAAAATCGAAACCTGCCCTTATATAGGTGAGTTGGAAGTTGAGATGTCAGTTACATGAAGGTCTCAACATCATTCAAGAACTCTTCAGTGAGTCTTTTTCTATCCAGATTTAGTCACTTATATATCCATGAATTTAATGTGTGAATATCCATAGATAATCTATATATATTTTAAAAGAGTTTATAAAGCACAACTACTATATGGAAATATTAAAATATTTTCATATAGAAATAAGATAACAAAGAAACTTGCATGATGCACACTTATCATTAAAAAAATTGAAGATAACATTAAAAAAAAATATCACTATTATAACTTTTTAAAGTAAAATACATATTTTCATGCATAAGTTTAAAGTACCAAAGTGTTCTATATGTAAATTTGAATATTTAGGTTTGAGATACAAAAATATGTAAGAATTTTGTACCAGGTATGTGAATTTCCTTTAAGAAGGAGAATTTACATTCATAGCACACAATTTTTATTTATTAACATACATGAAAACAAACCTTTTACATTATCATGCATATCGCTCAAAACTTAATATCATATAAAAACATCACTATTACAACTCTTAAAAGTGAAATAAACATTTTCATGCATAGATTCAAAGCACCAAAGAGCCATATATGCAAATTTGAAAGTTTAGGACATTTGAGATACAAAAATATGAAAAAATTGTATGTCAGGCATGTGAATATTCCATGAAAAAAGGGAAATATACATTTATAGCAATCATTTCTTATATATTTACATATCTCAAAGCTATACTATCATATATTCCCACATATCACTCCAAACTTTAATATCACATAAAAAACGTCATTATCATAAGTTTTTAAAATTGAAATACTTATTTTCATGTATAGGTTTAAAGTACCAAAGCGTCATATATGTAAATTTGAAAGTTTAGGTTCAAGATATAAAAAAAATGTATTAGAACCGTGTGCTAGACATATATGTGAAGTTTTCTTTAAAAAAAGGACTTTACATTCATAGCACACAACTCTTATGTATTTGCAAATCTCAAAGCTAAACTTTCATATTTTCACACACAACAGTCCAGACTTTGCTATTACATCAAAAACATCACAATTATATGGAAATATGAAAATTCAGGTGTGAGATACATAAACACATAAGAATTGTGTGAAATATACTTTTTCATATATTGATTAAAGAACGAAGGTGTCATGTACTTAAATATGAAATTTTTGGTGTGGGACACATACAAACATAATAATTGTGTGCTAGATATGCAAATCTCTCTTTAAAATTTAAATATTAGATATGAAAACATCTAAGGCTTGAGTTGTGTGCATATAACAACAAGATACATTACCTTGAATTTATAACAATTAACTGGCCCTAATGATGCAGGCAGAGCTACTTAAAACACTGTCCAGATTAAACGCAAACAGAACGTGGGAAATAAGGCATAATTAGAGGAAAAATAAATCAACAAACTCTATACTTCCGGAATCTGTACTGCTCGGCATGGTTGGAGACGTTTTGGCTTGCTGAGGAAAAAGGACGCCATGGGGATCCTTCGTGAC